TATAATTAACTATCCTCGTGTTGAAATATCTTGTCCAGTCTGGCCTTAGAGGTGGGGCTGGAGGTGGCTTCCAACCCTTCATATTCCAGGTCATTCCTCTTGTTGACCGCCCGTACAGGGTACAGGGTACTGGGTACAGGGTACAGGGTACTGGGTACAGGGTACAGGGTACAGGGTACTGGGTACTGGGTACTGGGTACAGGGTACTGGGTACAGGGTACAGGGTACTGGGTACAGGGTACAGGGTACTGGGTACTGGGTACTGGGTACAGGGTACAGGGTACTGGGTAGAGGGTACTGGGTACAGGGTACAGGGTACTGAGTACGGGGTACTGGGTACTGGGTACAGGGTACAGGGTACTGGGTACTGGGTACAGGGTACAGGGTACTGGGTACAGGGTACAGGGTACAGGGTACTGGGTACAGGGTACAGGGTACTGGGTACAGAGTACTGGGTACTGGGTACTGGGTACAGGGTACATGGTACTGGGTACAGGGTACTGGATACAGGGTACTGGGTACAGGGTGCAGGGTACAGGGTACTGGGTACAGGGTGCAGGGTACAGGGTATGGGATACTGGGTACGGGGTACAGGGTACAAGGTACAGGGTACAGGATACAAGGTACAGGGTACAGGGTACTGGGTACGGGGTACTGGGTACGAGGTACTGGGTACTGGGTACAGGGTACAGGGTACAGGGTACTGGGTACAGGGTACTGAGTACAGGGTACAGGGTACAGGGTACTGGGTACAGGGTACAGGGTACAGGGTACTGGGTACAGGGTACAGGGTACAGGGTACTGGGTATACTGGGTACAGGGTACTGGGTACAGGGTACAGGGTACAGGGTACTGGGTACAGGGTACAGGGTACAGGGTACTGGGAACAGGGTACTGGGTACAGGGGACAGGGTACAGGGTACAGGGTACTGGGAACAGGGTACTGGGTACAGGGGACAGGGTACAGGGTACTGGGTATACAGGGTACAGGGTACAGGGTACTGGGTACAGGGTTCAGGGTACAAGGTACAGGGTACAGGGTACAGGGTACAGGGTACTGGGTACAGGGTACTGGGTATACTGGGTATACAGGGCACAGGGTACAGGGTACAGGGTACTGGGTACAGGGTACAGAGTACAAGGTACAGGGTACAGGGTACAGGGTACAGGGTACTGGGTATACTGGGTACAGGGTACAGGGTACAAGGTACTGGGTACTGGGTACAGGGTACTGGGTACAGGGTACTGGGTACTGGGTACAGGGTACTGGGTACAGGGTACAGGGTACTAGTTTTTCCCTACATTCCTGCTCCCTCTTGTCCTACTCGTCTGTGTTGCCTGCTTCCCCCTGTGTCTTCTTGTCCTGCTTCCACCTGTGTCCTCTTGTACTGCTTCCACCTGTGTCCTCTTGTACTGTTTCCCCCTGTGTCCTCTTGTACTGCTTCCACCTGTGTCCTCTTGTACTGCTTCCACCTGTGTCCTCTTGTACTGCTTCCCCCTGTGTCCTCTTGTACTGCTTCCCCCTGTGTCCTCTTGTCCTGCTTCCACCTGTGTCCTCTTGTACTGCTTCCCCCTGTGTCCTCTTGTACTGCTTCCACCTGTGTCCTCTTGTACTGCTTCCACCTGTGTCCTCTTGTCCTGCTTCCACCTGTGTCCTCTTGTCCTGCTTCCACCTGTGTCCTCTTGTACTGCTTCCACCTGTGTCCT